AGACCTCGTAACTTGGATTTCTTCGGTGGCTTCCCATGGACGTGTTTGTGAGTCACCCTTTATCGTTTGTCTTTCTTATTATAGTGTATTTACATTTTTTCAGAAGTTCTACATTTTCTTCATCGTACTGTGCTATTGGTACGAAAGTAAGTTCACTAAGATGAAATTCTGTAGTTAATTATAATTTTCTAATCACTTTGTGGCACGCATAAACAAATACAATGTAAATATTAAATAAAAAGTAATCGTTATTATTGTGTTATATATTATCTTATGTTTTTCATGAATCACCGTTTTATTCATGAATAATGGAACTATCCAAATTTCACATTTTTGTATAAATAAAGATTAACATTAAAAATATTAAAATTGCAAAAAGAAACAAAAAGTTTCTTATCAATAATCAGTATAGGCAGACACGTATGTTAGTACTAAAAGATAATAATTATTATTTAAAATTTAACTTTAATTAGATACATTATTGATTGAAATATTACGTGACATTAGTTTCTATTTAAGTGGTCAGGTCTCTGGAGGTTAACACTTCAGTTTCTCAGGGTCAGATCCGACCTAAATTACTGGAAGCTGCTATATCGGTCTACTTAGGTCCTAGATGCGTATATCATTCGAAATTAGCGTGTTAGGTCATTCAGGGTTACGTGTGTATGTGAGCAACACACACGATTACTGAAATAGATGCTTCAAAATAGTTTCTGAAAGGATTCTGTATTATGGTTTCCTTCACTTTACTTTTTCAAAACTTTTTCCATTTCCTTATGATGCAATAAGAAAGAGGGAACTCGTTTTCACGGCGTTCCATGGTGAATTTTAAACATTTTCTTGTGGTATTCATTACTTTGCACTATCTTCGTTCAGTGAATATTAAAATTGAACGAAGCCAACGTACACATATTAAACAATAATAAGTTAAAAACGTTTCTAGCATTGATAATTCCTAATTTTTTATACAATCTTTTGCGTTTATTAATTATTCTTCGAAGAAGTACTGCTGTTCTACCTTTGGTTTCCTCCCTTCAAAGTCTTTCAATGACCAAGAATGAAATTTTGAAGGTAAGTACTGATAATTACTTATAAATCAATTTTCTACATTATTATTAGCATCTTCGTGAAAATTTCTTTATAATCGAATATCAAAATACTTTACAAAGTAAAAAAAAAGTAAATACTATGAGAATAGAAATAATATCATTTTTATTGTAAGTTACCAATTATAAATTTGATTAAAATAAAATAAGGAATGTCAAAGATAATAAATACAATTATTTTGCGATTAAAGATAAAATAATGCAAATTGCAAAATGAATATTTATAAGATTCAATAGAGAACGAACGTGTCATCCTTAAGTATCACATTGAGAATCACTGACAGCAAACTTGTCTTCTACAAACATTTAACTTTCTCAATTAAAACACAAAGTCTATAATGCGATTTTAAAGTCTTAAACCACCAATTTCCAAAACAAACAAAAAATCATTACGGACATAAGTGTTTGATAAATGTGTCTGCTTTAAAAATTATCTCAATACTGTCACACGTTCATAACCTTATTAAAATATATATAATTTAATTCATTAAACTCCACAAAATCATTTTTTACGGGAAGCTTTTAATTTTCACACTCAACTAAAAAATATTGCAGTTTCTAACCATGAAAATTTACAAATCCAATTTACCACATTCAACGTTTTACGTTTCAAACGCGAACAATTAATAATTTATAATCATTCGAATAAACGAACCTTTAATTTCGTTGACTACATTAAATCGGTAAAACTAGTACGATTTATGTCGTGTGTGGACACATTTTAATCACGAGAATCTCAGAAATTCACTGACACTACCTTTGAGAAGGTAAGGTTAAAATTACTGCAATTGAAATTATCTTCATTGCATATTTACATTTGACGCGTGCGGCATCGCTTTGAAGTCACACGTTTGGACCACCGATGCTTGACGGACTGTGTCCATCCAGCTTCCGCTCATTGCGTACCGTATCCAAAGGGTTAAGCGAGCATTACTGTATCAATAATCCATAAATTCGTTTAATTAATAAAACATTCCTTGAATTTATTAATTAAATCCCATAAAATTTATAGCTCAAAGACTATAAAATAATTATCCTTCAATTCATATAATTAATAAAACATCCCTTGTATTTAATAATTGAATCCTATAAAATTCATACCTCAAAGACTATGAAACAATCATCGTTAAATTCATTCAATTAATAAAACACCCCTTAAATTTATTAATTAACCCTAGAACTACCAGATAGGTCAAAATAACCCAATCCTGATTTCTTTTGTTACAGTTACTGAAAAGGTACAGATGCTTCTGTGAGAAATCGTTACAGAAGTTGATTTAGTAATACTTATACTAAAATATAAGCCAACTGAAACCTTAACAAATACACAGTTAGAAGTTTTATAAAGAAATTCACAAAAGTCAGTTTAAGTGCTTCGTAGTTCTAATGTTAAATCCAATAGAATTTATACCTCAAAAACTATAAAACAATCATCCTTAAATTCATTCAATTAATAAAACATCCGTTAAATTTATCAATTAAATCCCATTCAATTTATAGGCCAAAGTTATTAGCCCACGGGCGCTACCAACTTAAATATCTTAGGACGGCCCTGCCGCCGATGAAAACGGGGGAATCCCGCGTTCATATTTCGTAGCGTTAGACGCGACGCGGGCGAAACTCACGTTTGCCGGCCACGTAGCGGGTGGGCGTCACCGGCGGAATTTTAATGCGGCGTCGATCCAACGCCGGTCGCCCGGCTTCATTAACCGCGGCTTTACGAAGGGATGATTAAGTTCTTTTTTCTGGAAATTCCACGACGTTAACGAACCTGTCAGATGTCGCGGGCCCAGTCGGCCAGTCGGCCGGTCGGCGCGATTAAAAACGCCGTGGAAAAGCTTGTCGGGGGAGGAAACTGGGTTAGGCGGACTATTAAAAGACGCCCGACATTCGTAACGGTTTCATATTTTTATTCCATCCCGGCGTGTCCGATAATCTTTACCGTGCACGCCGGTGCTTTTACGTTTATTACGTTGCCCGTGAATCTGGCTTTGCCTTGGGGTTGTGCGGGGTATGTTTGGAGCAGGATGGGGATGAAAGTACATTTTTCGAATAAACGATTGTGAAATTGAACTTTTAACACATTGCGTACCGGCTAATTTTCAGAAAACTGAATTGTGATGGCAATTTTCACTGAGGTCAACTTATCACTATACATAGAGAAACTCAGATATCATATTGTTATGTAATATGTTTTAAATAGATAATCAATTCGAATGAAATTTTATAGTTTTTTCAATGCTGTGGTAATTAGCGAAGTTACATAGCTAAGTGTCTTTATATAAAAACGAGATTTCTCGTTACCGGTATGTGTTGACATATTGTTGATTGGTAGTTTTACTTAGGAGGTATCCTATGTCACCGGTTATTATTCCGTAATTAACCCTTTGCACTCGAAAGTTTTTCACTAGAGATATTTAATGTGATCCGATGAGATAAGACGATGTATTTTGACACTAATTAATGAGAAAATATATAAATTAAGAACGAAAGTTATTTATTACAATATTTCATACATTGATGCATCATGCAAAGTTTAATATTATATATAAGACTTTATAATTTTTTATATCAGATCGAGTGGTGACTGAATCAACGGGTGCAAGAGGTTAAATACGAAAGTGACACAATTTAAATAGATTTCTATATAGTTTATTTATTTATGTATCGAGTTGAAATGAAACTTTGGCTGTATCTTTTATATAATTTTGAATATTTTCAAAAATTGAAATAGCTAATGCAAATGCAAAGGCGAGTTAACTCGTGACCGGTCAACGATGTGTCAATACTTATGCCATAGAAAACGGAAGGCACCAATACGGGGACATGTAAGGAATTTAATCAAGTAAATATCCTGAATTTGTGTCTGAATAAAGTAGTTTCAATGTATTGTTTAAGTTTTCATTCTTATAAATAATTTATAAGCTTTCACCTAATTTTTTGTCGTGTTATGCGCGAGTATTACAGAAAAGACTTTTGACCGTTAAAGGTTAATGATAAAACGATCTGGAAATGTCTTTCTTCATTTTTCGTACGTAACTATAATGATCTACCTTTGACACTGGATTGTTGGTTGATATTCTCAGTGTTTGTTAAGTTATAATATAAAATGTTTGTTAATTCAAAATGGACTTTTTATCATTGTTTTTGAGGTTCTTTTTATTAATGTTTTGTGTTTTTTTAGGTTGAAGGTGAAGGGGAGAGTGACAAAGATGGGGAAAGTGTTCAACAGATGATGATGGTATGTATTAAGTAGTATTATAATTTTGTTTTTATATTATCATGTGATGTTACTGCATCATTGTGTCATTATGTTACTATAATTTATTATTACTTGTAATATCACTAAGTTACTATATTACTCAATTATCATACAGCTATATTATTATGTGATCATATTACTATATTACTAAATCATCATATAGCTATACTACCATATTATCATATTACTATATTGTCATATTACCATATTATCATATCACTATATTACTATATTACTGCATTACTATATTACCATGTTGTCATATCATCATATTACAATTTCATCATATCACCATATCACCATATTACCATATCACCATATCACCATATCACAATATCACCATATCATCATATCACTATATTACCATATTATCATATCACTATCCCACCATTCTATCATTCCGTCACACTATCCTACGAACGTCTTATCGCGTCATCATAATATCTCACAATCAAATCACCGCCACACGACATTCGAATCTCCACGTTCACATCTCCACTTGCATCATCCTCGAATCACAGAGAAACATAACTTCTGCTCTCCCCCCAAACATTCTCACTGAAAGATACTAAAACGATACAATCTCTCGATAAGTGCGCGTTTCCCGTTCCTCCCAGAGAAAAAAACTGTGTCAGATCGTGCTTCCGAACTTCTTACAAACCGACAAACTCGAATTCTATTTCCGGTCCGCTGGAGAACTCGGTCAAAAGCGAATTTTCTTAAGCTCGAACTAACGCGAAGCCGCGCCGATATTTTCGGCTCCGGGCGTCAATCATATCTCCGTTTCTGCAAATGCATTTTCCAACTTCGCTCGAGCATCGCCGCGACGATAAACGTCGACCGACAGGAGTCTAATAAATATCGACACACGCGACAAAATCCTTTCTGCCAGCTGCGATTCCCGATTCTTATTCTTCTTCCCAGTGCGTCCGCTTGTCTATTCTCGTTTCCAGGCAGAAAAGGCCTGGCTTCCTCTTCGAGGCAATCTGAATCGATCTCTATCCTCTTTTCCGGTTGGAACCATGATACTTCGGAGACCTACTTTCCAATGGCAAAGTTTCCCCGAGAGGACTATATGAATAAATACTTTTGTTAGATATTATATTGTATTACGAAGCAATTTAGTTGTATGCAGATTTAAACGCAGAGATCTTGATGTTGTGGAGTGATGATTTGATTGTGTGATGTTATGATGACGTGATGCTATATTGATAAGATAATGTGATGGAATAATAGAGTGGTAGTATAGAGATTTGGTGATATTGTGATATGATTATATGATAGTGTAGTATGGGAATATGGTAATATGGTAATGTGGTAATATTGTAATATGATAATGTGGTAATACAATGTAGTAATGCAGTGATATGGTAATATAGTAATATTGTAATATGATAATGTGGTAATACAATATTATAGTAATGCAGTGACATGGTAATATAGTAATATTGTAATATGATAATGTGGTAATACAATATTATAGTAATGCAGTGATATGGTAATATAGTAATATTGTAATATGATAATGTGGTAATACAGTATTATAATAATGCAGTGATATGGTAATATAGTAATATTGTAATATGATAATGTGGTAATACAGTATTATAATAATGCAGTGATATGGTAATATAGTAATATTGTAATATCATAATGTGGTAATACAATATTATAGTAATATGTTAATACTGTAATATATTGAGAGAAATTTTGATTTATTTCTATTTCCTGTGCTGTTTCAAGTATCGTTGTCCATGAAAACCATCTGAGGAGTTCAATTTTCCTAAATATCATTACATGAATTCGAATAAACTAAAAACAACTATCTGAATAACTCAAATACTGCTCAAAACTGGACTCGTGCTGTTTTCTAATTCACGGCCCTAATTAAAAACAGCAGTAAATTAAAACAGAATAATACAGCAGCAGGGGTTGCGTTCCGATGTTTTCCTTCAAATTGAATCACGCGAATTTCTGAAATCCGCGGATCACGTGACGAACTGTGCCGCGTTGAATGTAAATGAATACGTCAACCTTCAAAAGCGTGTTCCGTGGAACGTCGAGGGCGGAACAAAAGCGATGGAGCAGCCCTCCGCGAGTGAAAGGGGTGCAGTTTTCTTCGGGGATGAAAAGCGCAACCGCGATACACTTTCCCGTAGACCGTACTCGACCTGGCGAACGAGTGCTACCGCGGTTTCGGCGAACCTTGTAACCCTGACGGGCTTCCCACCCTTTCTTTCCCCCTTTTCTTCGTAGTTCGACCCTTCCACGTCGTTGGAACGATTTTTACTTTTATCTTGATTGTTCGGTTTCTTGAGAACTCGGGGGAGAAAAAATTCTGATTCAATCCACGCGGTAAAATGAAAGTCAAGATGCTTGGAATATTTTTGTACAATACTGGAGGGCTTCGATACCTTTTTGTTTTATTACTTTTATTAATGTAGTAAAATGTTGTTAATAAGAATGTAACGAACGATTAGTATAATAAAATAGTATCAATGACAATGATAAAAAAGATATCGAGGGCTTCTAGTGTTGTAGTAAAATATTCCACGTATTTTGAACTTTTGGTGTTTTCATGTTAGACAATTTAATAAACGATAACAGTGAATTGTTTATTGCTGTTGTATCATCACAGAAATCAAATGAAACATGAAAAATATCTTTATTTTAGAGCAGTTACTTGTGACTTTTCAAATAATTATTTCAATTTCAGTGTTAGTTTAAAAAAAGACGAAAAATATACCATTATGATATTAACATGGAAGAGACTAGTAACAGATGTATGTAAACAATTACAAAAGCGGAAGAGTACAAAGGATTAAACATACTATATTATTTTACTACTTTTCTCCACTTTTTCCACATAGTCCAATTCTGCAAGTGAGCCATTTGTTTATAGAATCCTATTTGACACGTTGAATACCATCGGGTCACCGGTGACCCCCAACCAAATCGAATTACTGCATTCTCTCAGTTAAACATACTATATTATGTTACCACTTTTCTCCACTTTTTACATATAGTCCAATTCTGCAAGCGTGCCATTTGTGTATAGAATCCTATGTTCACCACAAGTCTCACTTATTGTAAGACAAGGGGTTGAACGAAGGAAAGGGGTGAAATCGTTCGATTCGCAGATCTCCACGGAAGAGGAACCGCGGCCAAAGGTCTCCGTTCGCGGAAATGTCTCCGCCACCCCCACCATCGAGTCTTCCGTGGCAGCGTCCGTGGGGAGAGAGAGTTTCCCGAAAGTAACGCGTGCCGACGACACGAGTCAGGTCGGCCAGTGGTGCGCGGGCCTTCGTGGCGCGAGTACGTGCACGCTGCCCCCGAGACACACCGTTCCTCCGTGAGTGCGCGAGATCGGACGATCGCACCCCTTTTCTTCCTTTAAACCGCTCTAAGGACTATTCTTTTTTCTAATTTTCTCGTGTCAAGTGACTGATTCTCTGACGATTTTTCTCTACCACGAAGACTTCGGCAATTGGAAGATAGATAGATTCGATAGATCCTCGATAAAGGTGAGCATTATTTTCTTGATTTTGTAGTTGGGGGTTATATGGATTGCTGGATTGAGGAAATGAATTTAAATTTTGTAAATTTTGTATGTGTAGAGAATAGTGTTATGTTGTATATACTGAAAAGATATATAATATTGTAATATTAAATCTAGTAAGATAATATGCATATAATGTTGTAATATTATAGATAATGAAATAATATATGTATAATATTTTGTAATATTAAATATAATAGAATAGTATATTGTAGTATTATATTTAATATTATGATGTATTATTTTATTATATTATAATGTGAGATTTTATTGTTTTATTATATTTAATACTAGAACTACTGTGCCAGTGAAAATGACTAGTTTCGATTGTTTTGTTTCGCAATTATTTATATCTTAAAAACATTGAGTAGCCGAAGTGATCTTGAAAATAAATAGTTTCACTTGAGAACTTTAATAAATGTTTGGAGGAACTGAAAAGAATGTGTTGTTACAATTTTTATAGTATATAATGTTCATGCAGCTGTTGTATTATATATGATAAAATAATTTAGAATATTATTATATTATAATATTAAATATAATAAAATAGTTTCTTGTAGTATTGGTATTTATTATTATAGTATATTATATTATTATATTGTAATGTAAGGCTTTCTTAGGTTTCAGAATATTTAATAATTAATTTCATGGTAAACAGAATACTATAGTGTAATATTAAATAAATAGTAACTCAGGCGAATGACAAAGCACGACCTTCAGTTAAGAGACAGAAGTAGTCGGTATAATAGGTACATAGTCACCCTTGATTCTTAATTTTAGTAATTTTGTGTTTTTATTTTTTCGATATTGTAATTAATAGTATTTCATACGATTGATGTGTAATCCTTGAAAATTGATAATGGATCTGTTTTATTGTTGTGTTTGTGTGGTAGTATTCATTTGTTAAATTATTTTGGATTTTTCGTATTTTTAGTACATTATTTATGAGAAAATAAATATTGATGTTAAACCACCAATTCGAATTTCATGTGATTGTTTAATAGGACGATTAATTTTCCGATGAATCGTATGTTACGTGTATAATATAGTTGTTTGCTATTTTGTTTTGGGAAATTGTTTGAATTTTTGGAAGATGATACATGAAACAATAAAAAAAAGTTATGGTTCCTTTGGAACGAATATTTTTGAGAAAATTTGATGAATTACTTGATATATTTAATGCGTTGTTTGAAATAATTTATTATTCGTGAAAGCACATAAGTAGTTCATTTAAAGGATACTGAATCACTTAAATTCTTCTATGAATTATTATAGACAGTATTAACAACAGGAATATTATTTTATGCGAATGAAGAATTATAGTTCTCTTTCTGTTTATAGTGTTACCTTTTCCCAGAAGTTAGTGAGTGACCTTGAAACATTTTGCATAGTACATTAGACGCAGTAACAGTCGAGACATCGTTTATCCTATAATAAATCAGAAGAACAAGGAAAATTCAACGTCCTCGACGAACAAAACGATAAATCAATAATTTCAGAATGAATCGCAAATGGAAAATCATGTTGTGTTAAATGTTTTTGAACTTGCCAGCAACAGTTGTTTTTTAATCTTCCATAAAGTTTCAAGTATTTACTCGCTATCGTTCACATAAATCCACAATAAAATCTCAAAATCAATAAAGAAGTATGGTAGCCATTTTGAAGCTACACAATGGCATATATTTCTGAAGCAAGCACGCACAGATCGTACAACAATATTTATATTGTAAAGACGTGTGCTAGTACTATCTTAAACGATAATTTCTCATTCGAAAACAATATTTGAACGTATTTTTGTTTCCTTCGAGCATAAATTTCTTATAATACTACGAACTTGCATTCTCTCTTATTTCAATGACAACTACAGTATTCCTTCGTGTTCCAAATCATCACCTAAAAGAAAGTTCAAAACACTTTATTATGACAGAATTAAACACTTATCATATTCAAATTTCTTCTATGAACGTAGATCATTTTCTAAAAATAAGACATTGTGTCATCAGAAAATTCGAAACACTTTATCATAAAAAGATTCAACACTTATCAGGTTCAATTTTTTCGTATACAGATTGAAGAATTAACTTTTTAAAAACAGCACTAAGAATTACCTCTAGAAACTACTTTCTTTCTAAAAGGAACACTCATAAAAAAATTCGGCACATCATCATCAAAGGTTTTACTCAAGTATAGAATAATATTCCTTGAAATTGATGAAAAGAAGTACTTTCTTAAATAAACTTCATCTGATCGTTACAACTCGATGATTATTCAATAAAAGATATCAAAATAATTGATTAACACTAAATTTACGAAACGCTTCAATTGGACGCATATTAAATTTCACAGACATTACTCAGTAAATGCTTATGCCGATTTTAATTAATGCAACAGCTAAAACGTGCATTTCAATCGTCTAATCTTCAAACCTCAAATTCCAGAAATCTAAATAAACGAATATCAGATTTTCCAACACCAATAAAATAAATTATACAATAAACGTCTGAGAACGTAGTGTTAATAGAAAATACCATGAAAGAAGTTATGGTTTCTTTGGAATGAATGCTTTCATTGTGAATATATCAATCACTCGATATATTTAATGCTTTGTTTGAAATAATTCATTATATAAAAAGGTACATGGTCAATCTAAAGGGTACCGAATAATATCCTGTAATCGACAACAAACAAATGTTAGCGATTACAAAAGCGAACGACGAGTGTTCCGAAGTTTGGCGCGCGTTTCGAATATTTCTAACGGAGAACAATGACAATAGTTATCTGAGAAAAGCGGTCGAGTAAACCGATTATCGTTACACCTGGATCATAACGAGGAAGGTTTCAATCCGTTTACCTGATCAAATTTGCATATTGTAACTCGCGTTAGAAGCCTTTCAAATCCCGCGCGAAATTTCTGATATTCGCACCGTTGGTATTTGCGCGAGAGGCTCGCGAATTCGTTATCAGTTTTTCCGGGAACTACCGGCCGGGATCGGAATAACCGAATTTGCGAAGAAATTGCCTGTGCAGTCGATTATGAGCGAGAACGAGGAGGCTCGCTCCGGGAACACTCGCAATTCCGACGGTTTTTAATGTAAATTTCCGTTTCATTTCGATGCCCGGCGAGCAAATTAATTTTTTCCGCGCAACAATTTGTTGCTGAGCGGTATTAAATTGCGAAATATTCCGTTAATTAAGGGAGGAGCGAATTTAGAAGCTCGCCAGAGTCAAATTTCCGGTGAAATCGCGGGCGTTTGTTTCGAATGAAAATGTCATGATAGAAATACAATTCGAAGCTTTCGATGATTAGTTGGGAGACATTTATTGGATTTATGTTCTTTGTTCTCGTAAATTAATATTTCAGTTTTTAACGGTTTTTAGTATTGTATTGTATATAAATAGTATAGAGAATAATAGTTAATTACTGATTGAAATGTTCAACTCTCATTAATCTCTTGTCAAAATGGAAATCTATTATCTAGGACAATTCTGGTGGAGATGGCTATCTTTGAAACTTTAAATTAGAACTAAAATAATTAGAAGATTTGATTTTCAAGCAAACTTTAATTACTTATGAAATGATCGACAAGAATTAGAATTACAAATGAAAGAACATGAATTTTAATGGTAATTGTGTCAATGATACTTGTACCTTATATTATACTTATACTTAACATACTATATTTATACTAAATATGCTACACATACTTGATATACTTATTCCTTATACTTAACTCAATATATATTATACTTATACTTAACACACAATAGCTATACTTAACATATTATATTTAGATTTAACATACTATATTTGGACTTAACATTACTACCTTCATACTTAAGATACTATACCCGGACTTAAAATACTGTATTCCTAGTGAACATATTCACAATTAACCCCTTGCCTTATAATAACATGTGAGACTCGTGGTGAAGGTTTTAAACAGAACTTAACAAATATAAATATTAGTCAATTATTGTGAATACAAATAAAATATTATCCTTTTGTTATCAATGATTATAATTTAAAGCAAACATAGGCATAGAATATACCTACAATTTGTCTCCCTTTTCAATAAATTATTAATGGCAAAGTAGTTGTGTCAATCATAGTTGAAAAATAAATTGTAGAGCAAGGGGTTAACATACTCACACTTAATATACTCATACTCAACATATTTATATTTAACCCTTTGCAGTCCGCATTTCTTCCCTACTTTCTCCTCGATAACTCTGTATTATTACGATACTTTACTTGTAATGCATTTGAAAAAATAGTTCATTAGTAAATGGCAGTGTAAACGATTCATCTTGCTGATAATATTGAAAATAACATAACAATAGAATCTACTTGAAAAATATCTCGTCAAAGAATCACACTTATGAATAAAACTGATGCCGAGTCACGCTCGACATAGGAGCGCAAAGGGTTAATACACTTATGCCTAGCATTCCCCTTTTTTATGCATACGACCCACTAAAGAGCCCGCGAATCCCTCAAACCCATTCGTCACTGTCCCACGCGGGGATCGTGGCAAACCAAAACGCGAGCTTCCACGTCGTTCCCGACGGGTGTTTACGAAAAAAAAAACTCGGCGGGGGAGAAGACATTCGTAGGCAACGAGCGTGAATCCAGCGAAGCCATAATGAACCGTGAAATTTCCCTGGGTAACACGGTTTGGGATAAGGGCTGTTTACATCGCGCAGCCGGGCTTTCTGAAAAATGAAACGGAAATGCTTTCCGCGCGAGGTAAAACGAGGGTGGGCAACGAGCGAGCGTGTGTGTCGTTGCCTGGACGATGAAATATTCATTCGCTCATGCGAACGGCTTTATTGCCCGTGAAAGATGGATGACCGCGAACGAACGAATCGACAAAATGAAGGAAACAATTAGAAATTTCGCGTTCGCCACGGTGACATTGCGTTTGACGGATCATTGCGGTGATTCGAGTTTGCGGTACCGTTTTT